ATACGAAAGGGAGCGGATGAGAAGCGGCCGATGGAAGCGTCATACTTACACAGGGTGCTTCAAAACAACGTGAACACTTCCGAGAATTTGCAACAAAATCACAAGAAATGTACCTCCCGGGTTCTGGAGACCACCTGGAGAAGATTCCAGGCACGCGTTGACAATGATGGCGAACAAGTGGAGACTCTTTGAGTTTATGAAGCTACGAACGTACATTTGTTATCATGTTACAGTGCATTAGCCGTTCTTTTTCCACCGAAAACGATAGTCCCATGTAAGTGTTCACATGATTTTGAAGCACCCTATTACTGCACCAGACTCGGCGTGTAGCAACCAGCGTGGTTTTAAAGGCTCATTACACGACAGCATCGCACTTGGATGGCATGACGGGGGGGAATGCTGACCACAGCACGCGGAAATAGAATTATTGTTGCCCTTGGTGTGACGCTCAAGGTAGGATATACAAAGGAAGCGATGATTCCGTGGCGTCAACAGTACTGGTCGAGACAACCACCCCCGTTGGAGTCATCATTCACGACCCCGCGCGCCAATACATTTCACGGAGTAAACGTTGATGCCTTGAAGGTTTACCGCGCGGGTTCTCAGCTGATTAGGCTCAGAATCAATATCGATCGACCGCATCCAAATGTTTTGTTCGTGTACGACGCTCCACGTACACTAATTTCTGAAGGAGGGGAGAGTGGTGGCTGGGTCATATTGCACTCCGTTGTCTGCGGGTGAGTGAACACGTGTGGACGGTTCTGTGAGGTTGTTTGCGATTGGACGTGGGTTTTATTCGCGAGTGGCTTGATGGAACATTGGGTAGTGGTTAAGGTCACCACTGCGCTATGAACCCCGGAGTTCAATTCCCGGCTATCTGAGTTCGATGCCCCATCAGTGGTGGGTGATGTCGGAACTCATCCTGCACCCTCCCTCCCTTCAACAAGTCACACTGTCCAGCATGGTGAAGTAAGGTTAAACAGCCTCTTTGACCGGACATATGTGAGAAATAGCTTCATAGCACGTGGGATTTGAGTCTGATTAAAAAAAAAATAAAGATTCTGATACGGTTTTTTTGGAAGGCTTTTATTCGGAACTTGACTGCCAAACGTCTGTATGTTATCATTATAGAATGTTAGAATGAGTCAAATAATGCATACATCTAAAGGCTCTTCAAAATAACTTCATCCACAATGTAACTGTAAACTGAGTTATGGTTTTAATAAATACCAAGACCTCGTGAGTGAAACGATACAGCACCGTCAACCAGAAACTTCGCGTCCTTTCAACCCTCCTCCCTCCCTCTCGCCTCCATCACAGCCCCCGCCAAACCAGCACTGCCCTTCCTCGCTCACTATGCTAACAGAAGGCGACAACACGGAACATAAGGGGACAGCCAAAACAAACGCGCCTACACGCCGCATTAGCGCCTGCACGATATCACATCAGACCTCAGGCGCTAAGCACAATTCAGCTTGTTTCGCAAACTACTTGGATGAAGCGACTTATTCCGTATGAGCGATGATTCGGTGGCATGAACCGCAAGGGCTTGTGTAGAATAGGATAAGCATCGACAAGGTTTGTGGACCTGCATTGGAGGAGTAATTCAGATGTCGGCACCATAAGGAAGATCTGAATCCGGATGCTGGTAATGAGACTGTCAGAGGGGTCCTTGACAGATGTGTCAATTGCATAAACAAAGCCAGAGGGTCCGACACTGTGAGAGCCGACCTAGGGGGCCAGGTGTCAGGTTTTTGTGTTTTGTTTAAACAGCTGCTGGATTTAGCAGAGAGAAAGTAAGCCATGGCAAAATGTGGTGCCATTGTCCGTACGATAATGTCTTGGTTTAATTGTGTTTCACGAACAGACGAACGGACGTACACGTGTGAGTGTGCAGGGAGCGGTCGTGTAACGGTTAGCGTCAATACATCAGTGACGATTATCTGAACCGGTCCTGGGCCTCCCCTTAGGTCGAATCGGCCTCAAATGAGTACCTGGTGCGGTGTGTAGACATCGCCACTGGGGAGACAAAGGCTGCCGGACGTGGTGTTGGCCACTCACCCCCTCGTGTGCCGCGCCGGCCTTTAAAGGTGCTCACTAACAACACTTGCCCCAACAGTCTTAAGGCATCATGGGGGATCTTTGTCTTTGTATATGATGTTGCGACTAAACAAAAACTTAATTATTTTATTTTACCATCTAAGGCCAATTGAGCTTTCCAACTATTTTTCAGAAGCGACCTGGCCACAAATTATATCTCAAAGAAGTGGCTTATCATGTGAACATGTATAGAAGCCAAATAACCTTAAATGAATGTTAGATTTTTATGAATGTTTGATTTTAACCCGGAGGATCCGGCGAAATAAACTACGCGACCTCGGGGAGAGAAAACATTCAAACTCCAAATATACAACAGACGTCAGGATCGGGGTCGAAACTAGGGCCTCTTGTATACCAGGCGAGGTAGTTAACATCTCCTAGCCACCGTGATAATGATGAGAGAGACCCTCAAACTCTAAGTACACAGCAGGTGTCGGGGTCGGGATCGAACCCACGACCTCCTGTATCCAGGCGAGGTAGTTAACATTTTCTAGCCACCGTGATGATGATGATGAGAGACACGCAAATTTCAAATATACAGAAGACGTTAGGATCGGGATCGAAACCATGACCTCCTGTATACCAGGCGAGGTAGTTAACATCTGCTAGCCACCGCGGTTTCCTATCTGTATGGACGCTTCAGATGCCAATGCCGACACGTGTCAATGTGTGTAGAGAACCACGCTGAGCCAAAGGTGGACACTAACTCTGCTCTAGAGATCAACGCGGTGAAAAATACACGATTAACTTAAACGCGCCGACAGCTAAACAACTGCCTTAAACACCGCACACAAACACCGCTCCCTTAGACACACACACACACCGCTCCCTTAGACACACACCGCTCTCTTAGACAAACACACAAACTGCTACCTTAGACACACACACACACACTCCGCTACCTTAGACACACACCGCTCCCTTAGACACACACACACCCTTAGACACACACACACACCACTATCTTAGACACGCACACCCTTAGACACACACACACTCCGCTACCTTAGACACACACATACCGCCCCCTTAAACACACACACACCGCCCCCTTAGACACACACACACACACCGCTCTCTTAGACACACACACACACACACCGCTCTCTTAGACACACACACCGCTCACTTAGATACACACACACATCGCTACCTTAGACACACAAACACACACCGCTACCTTAGACACACACACACACACCGCTCCCTGAGACACACACACACACCTCCCCCTTAGACACACACACACCACTCCCTTAGACACACACACACACACCGCCCCCTTAGACACACACACACACACTGCTCCCTTAGACACACACACACCACTCTCTTACACACACACACACACCGCTCCTGTGACGCGGCCCGTAATGCATTCATCCCGAAGGCACCTTTGACCGAGCCACGGGGACGCTTTTGAATAATATATGTTAATGAGTGCGCCTTGTCCCCATTGATTGCACTGCCATATAATTTCGAGCTGTTTTACAAACAGCGCCCGGGCTTCGTCTGTCCCTCTCATCCCCAAGTGCTAGAGACGCACGGGGGTGACATTGTTTCGTGTGTCTGTGGGAGACGAAATAACACAATAGGTAGCACCACGGGTATTGTTACAGTTGATAACAATGGTCGTCCTTCTGCGTAGGGTCTCGCAATTGCGCTGTACAGCTCCTGCGATGTTAGTTGCCGGTGTGTCGTACGGAATATCTTGTCCGACGTTTCGCTCCACTTCTAAAGAAGCTCCCCCAGCAGAACGCGAAGCGAAACGTCGGGGGCATCACGCCGAACAACAAACACATCGGACAGGTTCGACGCTGGGGGGGGGGGGGTGGGGGGGAGGTTATTGTGTTTGTTGATCTATTTATTTTCTCCTGCCCCACCGTGCTACCCGCCGGCATCACATCACGCATGACACGAAGCCGTGCGCCGCTTGAAATCCTCTCAGCGAGCACCCCACCACCTCCTGTTATAACACAAAACGTACGCAGACAACACGCCTCCTGCACAAACCCGTCTCTGCACGAGAAAACAACAGCAGCAGCAGCAATAAACACAAGTATTTATTGCACATCTCATCAGCGGCGCGGCCGTCTGGAAGCGAAATATTTTTTTAGCAGCATGTATTCAAGACAAGCAAAAAAAAACTGTCCACTGGTTTCGACACGCAGGATCTCATCAGCAGCCGTCAGCTGAGCTCGAGCCAACGCGAGTGAATTACCAGATGTTAGAAGGGCAAGGACGATCTCACTCCGTGCTACGGGGTGCGAACACGATCTGTGAGGAGGATATCGTCATCTAAATAAATATTCGCGAGTCGCGTTTTCTCCCTCGCTTCTTATCCACAATAGGCGGCGCACCTCGCATTTCCCGGCCCATAAGAGGTGTTTGCTGCATGGCAATCGTGAGATAGGATATTCGGCATGAAGATAATACATTAATAAATAAAAACAACGGGGTGGTGGAGGGGCGGTTGGTGATTCAACAGATACTGTGAAGTCGCTGCACCACAGAACCCTATTTACTCATTATAAGACGACCGCACATCCCGGATTCGAACCCAGCGTTTTACCAGCGCGGGCCCAGTGCTCCGACAGGATTCGATTAATTCAAGGCGTTAATATGCGCAACCGATCCGTGTTCTATTTTAATGCGGGTGTCATTTGTCGGAGACGTCTTTCATTTAAGGTGGAGGCTGGGGCTAGGGCATGGGGAGTGGGGGGAGCGAGATGGGGGTGGGGTGGGGTGGGGGTGGGGGGATTCCCTCGGGCTGTGGGGAAGAGGGGCGGGGAGATGGAAAGGGGTAGCAAGCAGCAGGGGTAGAGAGGGCGGCGTGCGGCTGTTGATCACCGTGCGGGGTTGGGGAGCGCTACCATATGCGGCGGTGTGTAGGAGAATGAGGATAATGATGATGTGGCTTTGGTCAGCGTGCGCCTTTGCTGAAACGCGTTCGGTGGTGCGCCAGACTGGAGCTTGATTGACCACGAAGGAGCTCCATGTCGGGATCTGAGGCGACGCTGGTTCTCGTTATTGGTTCGGCTTTGTTTCCCCCCCCCCCCCCCAAAAAAAAAACTTCACACAAAAGGGGGAGAGGAGCGATAGGTGGGAAAGAGAGAGAGAAAGAGGAGGGATCGAGAAGGCAAGCGGCACAACGCGTGAAGCGTGCACCGTGATCACGCGTGTTCTGATCGTGGAGGTGAGTAAGACTGCCGCATTAAATTCGTGATTCACATTCATTAAGGTTCTGGTCATAATGCACTCCCTTATTTACGATATGCCGTGTGCACATATGTGTACGGGATATCACGTGTATGTTAAACTTATTTTGCAACGTACGTAGCTACCCGTACTAATCGGAGCTGCGGGATATATATAGTATGTACTATTGTAAATATGTATTCTAGATTTAGTGGCGTGGTGCTGTAACATTGATAGGTGCTTTTTACACGACGTATCCGCCCACCGCCAGCCTTAGCGCAGCATTACGGAGCTCAACTACACACAGCAGTGTGGATGGAGCCTGGGAGAGTTGGTGTGCGTGGCAGCCCGTTGTGAACGATGTCTTAAAAACGCATCCACCAATGCTGTATGGATGTCTCTATTGAAGTAAACCGATATAGGTTTGGTCGTTTGTAGCCAAGCCTCAGAAGGGGGGAAATACATTCAGTTTCAATGAGCTCTTGCCTGTTTTAGTAATACATATATTAACTAATCATATACCATGATTAAATTATAACCTATATGGATTATATAGCATTGCCTTTCACAAGAAGCAGGGTTTAGGCGAGTGTATAATAATAATAATGCAGCCAAGCAATTGGTTTAAAAGTACAATAATGTCAATCTGAAATCAAATAGACTGTATATGGAGTAACGTATACAGTACATATTCATTTATAAAATGTGCTTTTAAACAAATTCAATTCGGCAATTAACCAATTAAGAGAGCAGCTGTGTATTTTCCAATTGAAACGTGGGAAGCAATAAAAAACCATATCAGTGGTGTGAGTAGCGTAAATACGGCAATAAACAACAGTTGTAAATGTACGCCGAAAAAACAACACGGAATTCGTCCTATAACAACATGCAAAAGCAATGTTTAGAAATAAAAAGTCAAACAAATTCGTAGAAAAAATGAAGCATGCTATAACGAGCCTATCTATATGCACACAACAGATAGAATAACGAGCTTGGGTCTATGAGGAGAGGAGGAGGGTTGTGAAGGATGCTCGTTAGAGAGGTTACAAAACAACACACACTTATCACACATACATACATACATGCACACATTCCTCAACCGGCTGTGCTGTGCGCTCACACAGGGCACAGTGATTATGAGGAATGTGATCGCACATGGACGCCCACTGCACAACGGCGCTCACTGAGAAGTCGACTCCTTCAGCGCCAAGGAAAGCGACACGGATTTCAGTGCCAAGGCCAGCGACACGGACTTCAGCACCAAGGATAGCGACACGGACTTCAGCACCAAGGATAGCGACACAGACTTCAGCACGAAAGACAGCCACATGGACTTCAGCGCCAAGGAACAGGGACGTGAACTGCTGCACCAGTGGCATTGATGCGCTGAGCACTATCTACAATACGGGTTTCCTATTTGGAGCATGCTATAGGATGATAATACAGCACAACAGTAGGCTGGTTCAACATATCAGCAGTGTTATGGTGGCGACATTACAATCCTGGTCAAGAAATTATAATCGGATAGAAGTCTTGACCGAGAAAGACATGAAAAACTAGCGAACACATTGTTGACAACTCCATGCGTGTAGAAATAGTTATCTCTGCATATTGCGGTTCGAAAAAATGGTATTCTAATAGCCCATGTGGGCGAACGTTACAGTAGCATGCGTCGTCCGTGGGGGCTTGGTGCGTTAACAAAGACGTCGCAGCATTCACTTCCCAATCCCCTTCTCCACTAGCACCCACACCTGCCTACCCCCCACCCCCCCCGAGTCAAACCTGCGCCGTCGTCGCGACGCGGCGAGTGCTCACTGTGGTACGGGGCTGCACCTCTGTGAGGGAGCGCAGGCCGCGGGGCGGCTCGCTCAATGTGCCAGAGCCCGCATCCCCGCGGAAGATTCGTCAACAGCAGCAGCATTTACAACGTTTACAGCTGCAGCAGCAACAGCAGCAGCAGCAGGAGCCCCACGACCATGGCTCGAGTGTCCCTGGGAGGCGAAGACACCGCGCGCTTCGCGCTGCTCGCCGCGCTCATCCTCTGCTACCTGCTGTGCGGAGCGGCCGTCTTCTCCGCCCTGGAGCGACCCTCCGAGCTGGTGGCGCAGGAGCGCTGGCTGCACCGCCTGGAAAACTTCACTCGTCACTTCGGAGTGCCCCGCGCCGATCTCGACGCGCTTCTCCGGGACTTTGAGCTGGGCGCCACGGCCGGCGTGCGGGCGGCACCGCTGCGCCCCCGCTGGGACTTCACGGGGGCTTTTTACTTCGTGGGCACGGTGGTCTCAACGATCGGTGAGTTCGGCGCACGGCTAACAGCGGTGTCAGTGGCATCGTTGATTAAAAACCGACAGCTAGCGGGCAGAAGCAGTGGCAGTGGCGTAACGAACGGCATGCTGCTGCCGCTGCTGCTGCGGCATTGCGATAGTCTGTGGCAGGAACAGGATCAGAAGTGGCAGCAGAATACTTAGTCGTAATCGTCATCAGCCGCAGATGGTTAATAATTATTATCAGTAACCGCAGCAGTAGCATCACCATCATTATCATCAGCTGTATCATCACTGGCAACAACATTAGCGGCAGCGACAGCAGCAGTGTCATCTCTACACAAGGGCGATATGGGTGCATACGCAGGGGCCTTGTTTCTATATGAAGCCCAACATTCCGACTATTTTCTCTATTCTTTGTCCCTCCCATGTCTCTCTATGCGTCCGTCTCTATTTCTGTCTCTCTGTCCCTCCAGTGTATTCCCTCCATGCCTGTCTTTTTCACGAGAAGTCCTCTTCCGCCGAGCATGTGTGTAAAGCCATACTTCGTTTTGAGACAGCTCTGATCAATAGCAGCAGCATCATCAGCAGTAGCATCACAGCAGAAGCTAAATCAAGGTCTATAATAACATGTCACAGCTTCGTCATCATCAGAGCAACAGGGTACAAGCTTGTAAGAGACGGTGTTCTTGTAGCTTGTTGTGAGACACGCTGTGTCACCGCATTGTCAGTGACTACACACAGCAGTAGGTTCATATTTTATTTCAGGCCAATGAAAATCAAAGTTAGTTCACAGCAGATACCTATTAAAATCTACGTGCCCCTCACAAGGAACAGAGCCAAATTTTGCTGGCTTTGTAGCTTTTAAAAAGAACACATATACACCCACGCAATTTAAACTGTAGGGTGCCTTCAGCATTGTGCAGATTTTTGCTTTGGCCAAACAATTGCTTGTGCATTAGACAGGTCAACAGGTATTTGTTTTCCTTCTGGGAGAGCGCCTTCACGTATGTTCCCCAGGGCGGAGCAATGAGCTTTAACCCCTGAGGAAAAGAGCTGCCGAATTATAAGCAAACCACAAGTCGATGGTGCACCTCGTCTCGCCATCAGCTCTCGGGGAGATACAACAGCTTGGTTGTTTGGGCCTGCCTGGGTGGGCCAGGAGATGGCACTGCTGAGTGTTACCCCTTGAGTGTGTATTTATTTATTTCTGTATTCTGGTTTCCTCCCACAAGAATAAAACAAATTGTCATTCATGGAATCGGGCAAAATTATAGCCGTTGAATGTTTTTTTTTCTCGTTAAAAAAATGGAAATCGCTGGAATTTCACAGCCAGTCATAACAACTAGATTACTTACCAATTTGTGGAACAGCCAAAACATATTGTTTTGGTGATTCTCCTCCATTAATGGCAGTGGAGGCAATCAGTGCATTTTCACGCACACACAAACATGACGGAAATTAACATTTGTCAAGATAAGATTCCGGACAATCGAAACCAAACCAAACCGTTTCTTTGCCATTTGCAGTTTACATTATCACACTTTAACTATCACATCATCTGTGCTTTACCGAACGCACTACCAGCATTTGGCCCGACAGAGCTCTCTCTGCGAACCGACGGAGGGGCGACTGCACAATGAGGATCTATTGGTGTTGACGTTTACGGTGTCTGTGAGTTGAAACGACAGCGACACTGAAACCTATGAGGTGCGAATATGAACGTCTGGCTTCGTGGCAGGACAAACCTTGAATGAGAATGTCTTCCGTTGTCTCCCAGTATGGGCAGCGCAACACATTTTAAAAAATTTCCAATGCAATTTGTTCTGCATCGGTGTGCGAGGTTGTTGGTGTTTTTCATGGACATGGGCAGCCCTTCATCAATCCGCGAATGGATGAGGGCCTTTTCACACCATGCGAATCATTTGACAATTTCATTTTTGCCCATCTTCATCACGCCGATCAGTGTGGATTGGTGAAGGTTGGGGGGGGGGCGTGAAGGTGGGGGGGAGCATAGACGTGGGAGTACGAGAGTACTGTACAGTACTGCCATCTGTTGCCCACAACGTAGCCACAGAGCCTATTACACCTGTTTTATGTACAGGTGCCTGTCTCAGTACTATCCAGGCTCAACCCTGCTCCGACAATGCATAATTCGTTTAATTTGGGTTAGATAGTCCAGGTATAGTGGCATATGTTTACTATAACCCACGATCAACCGACAGAGCCAATCAAATCCGGGTTGTCACATGGGCTCTGAAGAGTTTGTGCACATTCCGGGAGATTTGGTTATCGTGGTCTTTATATATACATAAGTACATCCATAATCAAAACCTACATTCTAAAGAACAAGTCGACCTTAGCCTGCACAATGAGCATGATTGTGTTACAATTTCTCTGTGCTGTAATTCAGTAGCAGCCGAACTTTTTTTTTTTAAAGCAGAGTGCCCAATCCAGACAACACCACCGGGGGAATTCAAAGCACGAAATCATGCGGAGCAAATTAACGATTGCATCATATCTTGATTATAAGTTTGGCAGCTGGCATCGCGGCTCACGCGATTTTCACCTGATGACGGGCGCTTGTGTTGCGTCCGAAACGTCGTGATTTATTTTGTTTAATTTCTACCTACGTGACTTTACCGAAAGAACCAAAGAGTATGGATTGCTCATCTTGGTTCTTTCGGTAAAGTCACGTAGAAGGGAAATAATAAAATAATAAAATAAAACATAATAAAATAATTCTCACGACGTTTCGGCCACAACGCAAGCAGCCGTCCTCAAGTGAAGAACAGGTCTGTCGAAAAGACAGCGTCTGAATGACAGACCTGTTCTTCACCTGAGGACGGCTGCTTGCGTTGTGGCCGAAACGTCGTGAAAATTATTTAATTGTTTTATTTTTATTATTTTATTATTTCCCTTCTACGTGACTTTACCGAAAGAACCAAGAAGATGAATCCCTGCAGTCACGAAAGCTTTAAATCAAAAAAAAGTATGGATTGCATCGTAGTTTTAATCAACAGCGGATTACAAGGCTTCCCACTTTGATCAAGCACAAAGGGCTTTTGCTGTGGCATCGCATACTTGCCAACCAATGATAGTACCTTCATCACAGCTATTGATCTACTGTTCTTCATACAGAAAATACAATTCCAAAACTAAAATGTGGTCATGGTTACAAGGTGTATTTATCAATCGATTGATGGATTCACATCGATTAATAAAAGCTCACGACACATGCATCGAATTGCCTTGCATGAAAAATATTTTCCGTTGTGTTTTGCCCGTGACCAAATTACCCAAAGTGCACCCGATCGCATCTCATCTCGAAAGCGAAGCAGGGTTCAATCTGGATAGCGCTTTGCATGGGTGACCACTGTGCATGGCAGGTGTTATAGATTCATCTTCTTGGTTCTTTCGGTAAAGTCACGTAGAAGGGAAGTAATAAAATAATAAAAAGAAAACATAATAAAATAATATTATAATAAAATAATATAATATTATGTTTTATTTTTATTATTTTATTACTTCCCTTCTACGTGACTTTACCGAAAGAACCAAGAAGATGAATCCCTGCAGTCACGAAAGCTTTAAATCGAAATTTAAGGTGTTATAGACTTCGTTGCTACGTGGTGGACAGCAGAGGGCAGTGCAGAAACATTAATTTGCTGTACTGTACCTCCTATGGTCTCGCTTCAATGCGTCCCACCTTCACCAAACGTGCACTGCAGTCTGGCCAAATGACCTTCGTGACCTGCGCAAGGAGTAGAATGACAAAAAGCCTACAAATGGATAAATGTTGTAATAATGGGTTCACGTGATCCCTGCAGCCACTAGTGACCGTTGCATTCATCACAATTATTTTTTATAAAGACATTGATATAGTACAGTATTCTGTGGCCATAGCAATTTGGCAATTCGTCAAATTGCCGGGTGGGAGTTCAGGGTATAGAAGTGGGCGAGTGAATGGTTGCACCGCGAGCGACGAGCGCAGGGGCAGTGCGCCGTTAGCCCTGGCGATGGGGCCCAGTCAACAATGTCCACTGCCTGACACGTGGCTCCAGCGAGCGCTTTCAATTACTATTCACTATTCACTCGAACTATTTTTATTTTAACCAGGTAAAGCCCACTGAGCCATACGCAGTTCTTTCTCAGAAGCGACCCCGGCCACAAATGATTGATCAACAACAACAACAAAGTGGCTTATCATCACGTGGACATTTATAGCAGCCATATAATCTAAACAACATGTTTTTAAATGTGGAGGGAAAATCCGAGAAGACCCGGAGAAAAGTCCAAGCGACCACCGAGATAGAGACACTCAAAACTGCAAATATACAATAGGCATAAGGGTCGGGATCGAACCCACGCATTCCTGTATACGAGGCGAGTCAGATAACGTCTCGCCACCGCGAATTCGCCAAGTTGGGAGCAAACAGCTGCCCTGCAGCTTGAACATGTGACGTCTCGGCGTGCCAAGGCTGGCTGCTTTGCTGGAGGCCTGGCAGAGAAGTCTCACGACTCTCGTCTCTCTCAAAGGAGCCGCGTGTGGCTTGGTGCAGGCACCAGGCGAGGTAGTTAACATTTCGCATGCCTGTGCAGTGTAAATGAACGTCGGGTCTGAGCGAAATCTCAGGGATGATGAGCTGCGAGGTCAAAGGGTCAGTGGGGGGTGGGAGGAATAATTTATGGACCAACGGAAAACGGCAAGGGTCAGACCTCAGCATCCCTTATTTAAGCGCCTGTTTGGGTGACAGGAGATGCTTCTAAGGCGTGCCTTTTTTTAAAGCAGTTTTATTTTTCTTTATCTCTCAATAATACATATGTTGATGTGTTTAAATAAGTCAACACATCATCGGTCAGGCGGCAGGCTCAGCGGTAGAGCGAGCAGGCTCGCAATCAGAAGGGTGGGGGTTCAACTCTTGGTTGGGGGTTGACTCAGGCCATCATCCCTCTGGGGTCGATAAATGAGTACCACTTTGTGGGAGGAGTCAACAGTGGTGGTGTTCTACGGGTAGACTCACATCC